CTAGGCCGGCTGGTTTCTGGTTGGGTTTGGGAATTTGGGAGCTCTCCAAGGAGTAGAGGAATGGAGGAAAGTGCATCTAGGCTTTTACTCCTCTAGCATGCTCCACAAGAGGTCCCCAGGGTGATTGTCCCTTGGTTGAAGGGGCACAGATTCTCTCAAGGGACCATCTCTGTAAGATTTTCTCCTTCTGGTCCAGGTACCTTCCCTACTTGTCTTCTGGATGGGTGAGGTAGGAGCTTCTAGCCCCAGGTTGCCACAGCAACCCTCACATTCCACACCAGCACCTTTTCAGAGGTGGGGAGAAGGGGCGCTCCATGCATTATCCTCATTTGAAAGAGCTCCCGGTTTCCTGCTGAGACCCTCAGTTTCCTTCTCCTGTGTGCCATGAAAAGTGCAACACAAACATCTGTACAATTCTCCTGGCCCCAACCTGGTCCCAACCTTTATTTATTTATTTATTTATTTTTGCAGTACTGAGGATTGAAGCCAGATGTGCTCTACCCCGAGCTACATCCCCACCCCTTTTCATTTTTTTTAAATTTTGAGACATGGTCTTGCTAAATTGCTGTGCTGATCTTGAACTTGTTATCCTCCTACGTCAGCCTCCCAAATCACTGGAAATAGAGGCATGTGCTACTGCGCCCCATCCAAGAACTGATTTCAAAGCTGATGTTCTTTTTACTACCCTGAGCCCTGATCCCCACAAGAATACCTATGTCATTGGGTTATTGGGAGGATTACATGACATGATGCCTGAACTGTGCCTGGCACACAGGTAGGAATGAGTGAGCAGGTGGGGACCCCTCCCCTCATCTCCTGTCTCCCTTGTGTCTATTGGTCCTCTGGTCCTACTCCCCCTAACTGGAGAAGGTATCTGGGGGTTACAAATTGTGGAGGCTCCAGTAGAGATTGAAGCTGCCATCAGCAAAGACTGTACAGTAGGCCCCCTGTCAGGAAGCCCAGGCTGTCAGGTTAGAAAATAAAATGTTATTGATGAGAAGCACCCCTGGTGAGTGGTGTGTGTGTGTGTGTGTGTGTGTGTGATTGTATCCCCAGCTGAGGAGGCACTATCCATCAGGGGCAGGAAATAAAATCTTGCCTCTGCAGCAGCCTTGGCCAGCTGCTGGCCTCATTCAGCTACATCTCTAAATTCCCTTGCGGAAATCTCACACAGACCTTCCCCAAACCCCCAAAATCCTTTCTCTCTGGTATCAGGAATTGAATCCAGAGGTGCTTTACCAGAGAGCTCAATCCCCAGCCCTTTTCATTTTGAGACAGGGTCTCACAAAGTTGGTGAGTGTGTGTGTGTGTGTGTGTGGTGGGGCGGGGGGGGGGAGTTGGTCTTGCTAAATTGCTGAAGCTGACTTCAACTTGTGATCGTCCTGCCTCAGCCTCCTGATGGGCTGGGGTTGTTACAGAAAGCTCAGTCCTTGTCCCTGATGCCAATCCAATAACAGGGGCGTGGTTTTGAGAAAAAGGTTCATTGCTTTGTTAGCAAAGGAGAAACACCGGGGACTCCTGTCCCAAAGGCTGTGATTTTGCCCATCGGCAGAAACAGAGGGCTTTTACAGAGGTGATTCAGAGAAAATGAGATTAGGGAGAAGAGACCAGGAATGAGAAGTTCAGGGAGGGGAAGGTTAGGGAAAAGAAGATCAGGGAGAAGAAGGTTGAGAAAAAGTTACAGGTGTGTGCCACCCTGCCCAGCTTTCTTTTCTTTTTTTTTAGTAGGGCACCTACCTTCATGACTACTGGATTAGTACTGAGAGATCCTGACAACTTTTAAAAAGTTCATTTATCCCACACACCTGGCAAATTTCATTTTAACAAAGTCCCTACTGCCCTATGAGGTGGAATTTCACTATTAGAAGAGACCCCTCTGGGTCAGCCCATAGAAGCAAAAGTCAGTCACATGGGGGACCTGGGGCTCCTTCTCCAGGCCTAGTGGGATGTAGTTGATAAAGACGATGACTGTTATGGACCCCATCTCCTCTCTGCACCCAAATACCACAGACAGAGAGAAGCTACTTCCTGAGCTCAGGCTTGGGGCTCCCACACCAGAGAGCCACCCCCTCAGAGAACTCCACTATTTCCTTCCCTCATTCCTTTCTCTTTTCTTTCACTACTGGAGATGAACCCAGGAGTAGTCTTCCACTGAACAATATCCCGAGCCCTTTTAATTTTTTGTTTTGTTTTGTTTTGAGAAACGGTCTCACTAAGTTGCCCAGGCTGGCCTTGAACTTGTGACCCTCCTGCCTCACCATCAGGCCTGGCCCACAGCGTTTTCTGTGAGCGTTTTCAGGCTGGGCAGGGCCCAGCTGGTGCAGTGAGTGGAGAAAAGTCCTTCCTATCGTCTTCCTTAGGTTCCTCAGGAGCATCAGCCTCTGAGAGAAACCCAGACAGCCCCTGTCCCAGGTGGCTGGGGACTCAGGCATTTTGTCCCCATGTGCCTTCTCCTGACCCCAGCAAAGGGCCTACAAGGTGCACCTGGAACCTTCAAGGCCCTGCCCTTGACAGTTGCTTTTTCTTGGCCATCTCTGTCCTCTCTGCCCTTTATGGACTTGTCACCATGGTCTGCCGAGAGTAATTGCCCATGAGGGCTGGGCTAGGGGAGGGCTGGGGACGGGAAGCTGCCTCCTGGGAGATTCTGGGCTTTTGCTCTTCCTGACTCAGCTTCAGCCTCGGGCCTTCTCCCATCTGACCTAAACTGACCTCCACCAGGCCTTCCTGGAAGTGTGGTCACAAGTCATTAGATGCTCTGACAGTATTTATGCCTGTCTTTCCGAGCAGTTTCTGCAGGATCTGAACACGCTGTCTCCCTGCCCTGTGTCCTCAGAGTCCCTTCTGTGACTCTTTCTTCTTTTTTAAAAAGTTTTATGGTAAAATACATATAACACAGCACTTACGACGGCCCCGCTTCCTTCTCATTCCTGGCAGCCCTAATGAGAGTGCTTGTTACGGTTTGGATGTTAAATGTCCTCTGAGGGCCAGAGAAGTCAAGTGGCTGCCCCCAGGGCCAGCAGAGAGGGCCGTCTCCAGCACCACGCTAGACTGTGTGCTAAAGGCCTGGTCCCAGCTGATGGCCCTGTTGGGAGGTGCAGAAATATCCGCAGGTGGAGCCCAGATGGAGAAAGCAGGTCACCTGCCTTTGAAGGATCTATTTTGTCTCTGCTCCTGCCCCCTTCTCTCCCTCTTCCTCTCTCCCTCCCTCTTCCTCTCTCCCTCCCTCTTTCTCTCTCTCTCCCTCTCTTTCTCTATTTTTGCTGCCTGGACAACTTGAAGTGAGCAACTTTCTTCCTCCATGACCTCTGCCATGATGTCCTGCTTTAATATAGGGCCAGAAACAACCGCACCAAGTGATGATGGACTGAAATCTCTGAAACTGCGAGCCAAAATGAATATTTCTTCTTTTAAGTTTATTTTTTCATGGTATTTTGTCACAGTAACAGAAAGCTAACTAACACAGCGCTCCTGTTTGCTTCTTCCCCAGACTATAGGGAAGGATCAAGTTGGGATGCCCCAGATCTCCCATTTGGATGAAAACTTCCTTCCTTCCTTCCTTCCTTCCTTCCTTCCTTCCTTCCTTCCTTCCTTCCTTCCTTCCTTCCTTCCTTCCTTCCTTCCTTCCTCCCTCCCTTCCTTCCTTCTTTCCGGATTGAGCCCAGGGCATTCTACCATTGAGCTACATCCCCAGTCTTTTATTTTTAATTTTGATATAGGGTCTCACTAAGTTGTCCAGGCTGGCCTTGAATCTGTGATCCTCCTACCTTAGCCTCCTGGGTTGCTGAGATTACAGGCATGCTTTATTGCACCTGGAAAAAAGTTTTTATCTTATCAACCATTCCTTTGATAAGTGTGAGTGTCCTACTCAATCTGCCTTCCCTCAGGAGAATTCTAATGAAAAGCGTTCAAATTTAAAAAGTCAAAGAGTGTTGGTTCTAGAAAGATCAACCTGCTCTTAGCCTATGTGCATCAGGAAAGAGCATCGGATCCAAACCTAAAACACTGTGAAGGCTGCCGGCTTCCAAGGAGCCAGTGGGGAGGACACCAGCCAGCAGGCGAAGGGCTTGGGTCTCCAGGTGCTTGGACTGTTTGGTCTTTTCCGGAAGCCTGTAGTTGGCTGGGACATAGCCCAGGTCCTGTCTGTGGGCGGGGACGGGGCCCTCCCCTGATACACAGTGTTCAAATTGGTATGCTTTGGTTACAAGACAAACAGAGCATGGGCTTTTGTTGGTTTTACATGCGGTCGAGTAAAGGACCCATTTCATTCTATCTTCCTCTTCACCATCGTTAGCACTGGCTTTCCCCAAAGACTGGTTACCCTGATAGTCCCATTTCTCTGCCTCCCATGGTGCCAGGGGACCCTGCTTCCTTGATAAATCCAACTGTAGAAAGAAACCACCCTCCCATGCGTAGAATGCAGAAAGAGACTACTTTCTCTAGCACAGACTTTAAGTCATAGGCTGACTGGGCCTATCTAGCTCAGATGTGCATCCTGGACCAATAACAGTGGCCACGTGGATGATGTGGTGGATGGACCCTAATCAAGATTCAGCACCAATACTGGGAATGTGGTCGGCCTTCCGTGAGTTACCATTATAAGCTCCCTGGAGAATTGTACTATATGGAGAAGAAGAGCATACTGAGAAAAATTGGGTTAGGAGGAAAGATATGGATCATGGTCCTCACAGCAGTGTTTTTCCAACAAGGGATTGAGGTCCATTGGTGGGTGTGACATCAGTTAAGACTGTGGCTCAAGCCAAATTCAGCTAGCCACCTACTTTTATAAATAAATTTTTATTAGAACACAGTCACCTCTGTTTCCTTTCCCACTACAATGGCTGAATTGGTTAGTTGTGACAGAGATCCTACGGCTCTCAAAGCCTAAAATGTTTACTACCTAGCCCTTTACCAAAAAAGTTTGCCAATACTGGTTTAGAGGGTTGCAGCCAGCATTAAAAGGCAAAGCAGGTTAAATAAGAATAGGAAATATCAGAGCTCCCTGCATGTGATAAGGATACGTTTTATTTTATGAGTTCTTTCTTGCAGTTTGTATAAACATACATGCATGTGCGGGTGCTGGTGGTGATTTATTGCTTCCAGTGGTTCATGATCAGGAGTTGAATGACTACTCTAAGAGCACTCCTCACTTTTGCCATGGGAATAACTTCTTACGGAGGTCTATCTGTAATAGTGCTGTCCCTTGGGTTGGATGGACCTGCATACCTGAGAGGGCCATGAAATCATTTTCTGGTTGTGACCTGGGAATGCTGGATGACACGATAGGTAGAGGACTAACAGGATCCTGGACAGGAGAAATCTGGACCAGCCATGGTTGGACTTGCTCCTCGGTAGGAGCACCAAGGCCAGCTGTTATAGTCAACCATCATCCAGTCGAGTGAGACTCTTGGCCTCGGGCACATGGAGGAGCCTGTGCTAGCAGCCCTTGAAGCCTCTGCTCATTGCAAGCTTCTGTGATTTTCAGAGTAGCCTTCACCCTAGTTGTAGATGGAAAACCAAGGACCAGAGGAGACCACACACAGAGCACCCAGGGGCAGGATTGGTGGCTCAGGCCTCCTCCTCACCCCCTACTTTCTTTGGCTGAAGCTCTATGCCTAGAAAGAAACTGGTCCAGATGGAAACTGCCTGGGAGTTCGGACTCTTGGCTTCTCCTTCCTGGCCAGCACAGAGAGGGAGGATTCCCCCTGACTCTTTCGGGGAGAGGAACCATCCTCACATAGTTCTCCATGTTTCTGGGCCTCTGGCTTTCAGCAGTTGCCCTCCTTGCCTTCCAAGGCTGGGTAGGCATCTCCCCACTAGGATGGGAGTCGCTGGAGTGCAAGGAGGCTGAGGTCCCCGGATGGTTTCTGCAGCCTCTTAGCCCCTGGTGAAATAATATTGGGCTGTTCATGGCCATGGCCACTTCAAAGACATTGCTGGGTTCCACAGAAGGGATGGTTTGACATTTATAGGGAAACCAAGGAACTAAGGAGCCAGTGAGGTCTCTGGTGCCTGGAGGATGCTCTTTTGAGAAGAAGAAATCCATCCCAGACAGGGATGTCCAGATGTTAATTGGAACTATGCAGCCAAGGGCACATAGCTTCACACCCATGAGACCTCAGGACCGGACAGGCAGAGGACTCTGAGCATGTCCTTGGGGAGGAGCCGGATAATGTTGCCTTGGATAAGAAGCTTCAGCAGGAGTAGCTGGAAGGACTTGGCTCTTTCTTCTGAAACTGCTCTCAGGTTCTGGAAGGAACATTTGATGTGGAAGTGGAGCTGCTCTCCAAAGAGCTTGTCACTGGACTTGATTAGTCACCAGAGTTTCCCCTTCCTTCCAGACAGCCGAGGCACAGGGTCCAGAAGTCCTGGTTTTTTTTTCTTTTTTTTTTTGTAGAGATGGAAAATTAGATTCTGAAATATCAAATGACAGCTTGGGTTCTCCAGAAAGCAGAGCCAGAGGCAAAAGCATGTGCATGAAGGGTGAACCTGAAGGTGATTCTAGAAAATGTAAGGAAAGCCAGGAGAAGCAGTGCATGCCTGTAATCCTAGTGAGTCGGGAGGCTGAGGCAGGAAGTATTGCAAGTTCAAGGCCAGCCTCAGCAGCTTAGTGAGGCCCTAAACAGTTTAGTGAGGTCCTAAGGAACTTAGTGAGACCCTGTTTAAAAAAGAAGGGCTAGTGATGTAGCTCAGTAGGTCGGCAGCCTGGGGTTCAATCCCCAAAACAAAACAAAGCAAAAAAAAAGTAAAAAAAGTAAAAAAAGAGGGCTGGGGATGTGGCTCAGTGATAGCGCGCTTGCCTAGCATGCGTGAGGCACTGGGTTCGATTCTCAGCACCACATACAAATAAATAAAGGTCCATCAACAACTAAAAAATATTAAAAAAAAATTAAAAAGTAAAGAAAAAAAATGGAAGGAGGGAGGAAAAGGAGGCAAAAAAGCAAGGAGTGAAAGAAAGTGTTGTTCTCCAGGGTGGGAGCTGGCTTCTTGCAGGCCTTCTGGAGAAGAGGTCTCAAGCCTTCTAGATTATCCACTGGCTCTCATCCCTCTGGTCAATGGGTCCTCCAGTGGCTTTCTGCACTCCCAGCTGCAGAAAGGTGGTCTGAGCTCACGTGAACTTCCCATCTCAGGTGCTGCTGAAATCCAACCATTTGGGCCTCATGTGAGGGATTTAGCTCAGGTCTGGAAAGTCAACAAGCTGAGCCTCGAAACCCAGCAGACTACGAGCAGGGGCAACACGTGAGGTCATGTACGTGGGTATACACACTCTCACATGGGAGTAAAGTCACACACACACACACACACACACCACACATTTACATCTTAGCTTTTGAAAGGACTATGGAACTAAACCAAATGGGAAAAGAAAAGGTCACCTACTGAGCCTGCTATAGCAAGAGTGAACTCAGTCATGTGTATTTGGAGAGACTCACAGGCACGTAGAGGAGTGGGAAGGCTTTATAGTGGGCAAGGGAGGCTTCAGGTGCCCCCTGGTTGGAGGCTGCGGGCGTGAGGAAGTTGGCTAACTAGATTCAGGGCGCCCTGTGTGTTTGGTTAGAAGCGCATAGCTTTCCCCTAGCATGTCCTAAGTTGGATGTGGGGACAAAAATTAGGGAAGCTGTCAGTTACTAATCAAGTCCTGGCCATGTCGGGCTGATTGTTTACAGCGGTTTGGCTTCCTGGATTGTCATGAGAGATAGCAGACTGACTTCCTGCCTGTCTGACTCACAGCGGGCTGGCTTCCTGGGCGGCTTTCTGTAGAGAAGGGGTTGGTTTCCCAGCCGGTGGCTGCAGATTGTATGTCACTGATCTCATTTAGACATGAGATACATCCATTTGTATATTCAGTCTCTGTACCTCAAAGGCCCCTGAAAGCTGATGGTAGCTTACTCACTAGGGAAAGCCAATTCCCTCATCTACTGGGATATTCTTCCTTTGCTGGGCCAAAGTCGTCTCCCCTATAAACACCACACTTGAATTCTACTTTTGTCTTGTGAAGCAGCTCAGGGCAAGCCTTCCTCGGCCACCCTCTGCAGTCTTTCCCACCTGAGAGCCAGTGTGTCCTGGGTGGTTGGTCTCTTCAACTCACCAGCTAGATGAGGAAGTGGGTGGGGCTGAGGAGCTATGTCCCTTCCTCTAGGAAAGACGTGACAGTTCACAAGACACATTAGCCACCTCTCTCCCTTAAAAACACATGAGGTGAGACAGGAGCCAAAGACACAGGTTGCAAGGAATAAGGAGATGTTGGCGGGTTTGCGTGGCAGAGCCAGGGTTAAACTTTCTTCCTTCCATCCCAGTTCTCCTCTTGTGCTATAGCTGGTGGAGTCTGGGCACAGCCACATCTCAGTGAGTGACCTTTGAACTTTTGATGGCCCAAGCTCCTTCTCTGCAGTGAGGAGAGATGAGCTCACTTTGGGAGTAAACCTTGTGGTGACAATTCAATGATATCCTATTAGTGGGTGTTGGAGAAACAAAGCCTTCTTCTTCCCTTGGCCACTGTCTTCCCAGGCTTCTCGGCCCAGGTGCATCTCACCTCTGGGCAGTGAAGCAGGCACCTTTACAATCCCGGTGACTCTTAATTTCTATGTAGTTTCCTTAGGAATCATGATGGGATAGCTTAGTCAAAATAAGCAGGCCCCAGGGAAAAAAGTGTCCCCCCATTTCTTAGAATACACCGAGAAACAAACAAGCAACACTGAACACAGACAAGCTATAAGTTCCCCGTGTGTCTTCAGAAGAAGCCAAGATAAGTGGGAACCAGTTATCCTGTTCTGTCCTTGATCAGTGAAGCTGGGGGACCAGAAGCCAGTATCTACTTGCCTCTCTGGCTCTTGGGGAAGCCGACTCCCTTCCTGGGTAGGGCAACGTCTCTATTCCACTTTATTTTCTGGAAAGACTTTCTCTGCAGAGGTTGCTTATAAAGGAAAGTCTTACTGTGATGTTGGCTGACCCGAACCTGGTTTCCTGGATCCCCATTTCAGTAGCATCCCTGATGGAAGGGATAGGTAGAAAGGAGGACAGACACCCTTTGAGTGTCTGTGCTAATTGCCTCCAGCTGCCATAAAAAAATTGCCCCAAACAGCAATGGAAAGCAACAGAAATTTAATCTCTCACAGGTCCAGAGGCTGGAAGTCTGAACTCAAGGTGACAGCAGGCCCTCATTTCCACCCATGTCCCTGGAGAAGAATCTGTCCTTGATGTTCCAGCTCCTGGTGGCTCCTGGCATTCCCTGGCTTGTGACAGCTCAGCTCCAATCTTTGCCCCTGCCTTCTCATGGTCTCCTCCTCCTCTCTTTTATGAGCTCACTTGTCATTGGATTTAGGATCCATTCTGGGAATCCTGGATGATCTCATGTCAAGATCCTTAATTTAATTATGTCTGCAAAGACCATTTTTTCAAATAAGGTCACATTCATAGGTTGGAATGGTATAGACTCATTTGTTCTTGGGGACATCATTCAACCCACTCGGGTTGTCTAAACAGTCTGAAGAGTTGTGTTCTGTACTTCTCACAAATACCAGTGATGAGGACATTATCACCAGTTTTCAGAAGAGAAAACTAAGTTTCAGAGAGGTGAGTTAACTCGCCCAAGTCCACAGCATCAGCAAGTGGCTGGACTAGAATGGAAACTTAGGGCTTCACCACCCAGACAAGAGGGAAGGGGACCCATGTGTGGAAAGGTAAGGAGGATGCAAGATTGGCCCAGTAAGGATGAGGGAGAAGTTTCATCTTGTTGCAAAAGTCAGTGGGTGAAGGTGGGGACCATGGGACATGGGAGGTGATGCTGGAAGGAGAGCTGGGGCCAGTCTCCCAAGGCCTTGAAACAGGCTAAGGATTTGGGCTTGATCCTGGGGACAGTGAGGAGTCCTTGGAGACTTGCAGTCTCTCAAAGGTGAAGGGTGGCTCTCTGGGCTGTGTGGAGGACGGGGGTGGGGGGGGGGAAGAGGAGTCAGCATGGAGGGAAGGAGCCCATCAGGAAGATGGAAACAGATAGCTCTGGTGAAGGTGGAAAGGGAGGGGGACTCTTGAGCCCAGGGGAAGTCCAAATGATAGGAAGAGTGTGGGGAAATTCAGGACTCTAGGAAATGCCCAGGTTTGGCTACTGAGTGTGACATGGGGCCACCTAATAACAGTGTAGGGAAGACCTGGCAACGGGCAATCATGATTTGCAGCTGCCTAAGAATTTTGAACACTTTTCTCTTGTGCAATTATAAGTCTACCCTGGAAGAAGGGTGCAGGTGTGGGAGCCGGCTCACAGTCAGGCAGCCCCAGGAGTCCTCCACAGGATGAAGCAATGTGAAGAAGGAGGCTCCCGTGGCCTGGATGTCAGCAGAAGATCTGGCTTTGGGAGGCACTTTGCTCATTAAGGAATTCTATGCTGTGGTCCAGGGCATTGTTCTTGGGCACTGAGCTCCATTCTGTTTCTTAAGACACCCAGCAATTCAATTTTTTCCTTTCTGCTGAAGCCAGCCGGACTAGATTCTGTTGTTTACAACTAGGTACCCTGAGCCATATGAATGGTTTATGGGTGAGGGTGGAAATGGGGTGCCAGGGGACAGGGATGTGTTGAAGGTCAAGTGTGTCCATGTGATGATGTCTAAGGGGCCATTGGCCTTGTGGGTTAGGAGCACAGATTTGAGACATTGGCTTGAAGGTGACTGTGAGGTTCATTGGAGATGAGTGTGTAAATCCAGGGAATCCTTTTATGGGGTGGAAAGAAGCAAAGGAGACTTTGGAGGAGACTGAGAAAATGGGTAGACCTAGAGAAAATGATGTGAAAAGCAGGAGAAGTTTAAGGAAAGAGTAGTGACCAGTGCTGAAAGCCACAAAGGGCAACTGAGAGGAGAACTGAAGATGGTACTTTGCTTTTGGCATTTAGAAGGCCAGGGGTTCAGGGTGTGGTGGTGAAGGCCTGTGATCCCAGCTACTTGGGAGTCTGAGGTAGGAAGGGTCAAAAGTTTGAGGCCAGCCTCAGCGATTTAGCAAAACCCTATCTCAAAATAAAAAAATAGAAAGGACTGAGGATGTGGCTCAGTGGTAAAGTGCCCCCCGGGTCCAGTCCATAGTAGCACCCCGACCCCACTCATGCCCAGAGTGACTTAGACAAAGCACTTCTCCTGGTATCATGGGAGCACCAGATGGGCTGGCATGGGGTGAGCAGGAGAAGAGCAAGTGCAGACTACTAGAAACTGACCGAGGAGGGAAGAATAGGAGGAGACTCAAGCTAAAGGAGAGAAGCCAGCCACAATGGCAGCTCAGCAGAGGAGCTGTGGTGGTCCCAGACTGTGGTGTGCACCAGATGGGAGTAACCAGGGGTGACGGTGCAGGTTGTCAGGTTGTTTATTTGTCGATACCTGATACTCTCTGATACCACTGTGATGGTGTCTTCTCTTTAATTGCATCTTCTAGTTGTAGAATAAAAAGTCTTTCGATCACTTAAAACCCAGTTAGACAGATGGGATCAAAGTAACTTTGGGTGAGGAATCAAGTTTGAAATCCAAACAGCTCTGACAATGAGCTAGTACAGGGGAACAAGTTGTGGTTAGGGAAACTCCAGGACCTGAGATGGAGTCTACGTGTACCCAAGTTAGAAGCCAATTTCTTCTTGGTGCCTCCATGTGGATATAGCCCCCTGCGATGGTCTGAATGTTTTTGTTTCCTCAAAATCCCCAATATGATAATGTTAAGAGGTGGGGTCTTTGAGAAGGTGCCCTTTCTGGGCACCTGGTCCAGAATAATGTTTTAAATGTGTAAAAGTAAGTAAGATTATAAAGGAAATAAATTATATTGAAATACAGTTATAAAACTATATATTAAAGCCAGGTATGGTGGTGCACACCTGTAATCTCAGCAACTCAGGAGGATGGCAAGTTCAAGGTCAGCCTGGACAACTCAGCAAGACCCTGTCTCAAAATAAACAACAACAAAAGGGCTGGGGATGCAGCTCAGTGGTAAAGCACCTATATATTTTTATAAAGCATATTTGCAATATGGTAATATTTACGCTTCTTTGTTAATGCAGCAAGTAACCCAGTCTAAGAGCTCTCTAATTATGATTTCAGTGTAGTGATGAGCTGAAATGATATTTGGAGCTATTTGCAGCAATAGCAACATGATACTAACACCTGCATTTTTCTTGGTGAGGAAGTCAGTTACTGCTAATCATTCTGTGACTTCTAGCCTACAGTTAAAATAGAAGAAAACATTAAAATTCAGTTAGGAGTTGGGGATAATAAGCGTTCCATTTTCCTCTCCACCCAAGTTCATGGATCTTCTGAATCCATGAACTTGTTGGGGGAGTTTACTGAGGCCCCAGTAAAGAACCCCTGGTCTGAATGCTTGGGTTTCTTTTGTTCTATTATTATTATTTTTCATATTTTCTGAAATGAGTCACAGCAAACTCTCATGTAATAGTTAGCAAGAAACCAATAATAAAGACATTTTGCCCAGCACTATGATGCACACCTATAATCCCAGCGGCTTGGGAGGCTGAGGCAGGAGGATTGCGAGTTCAAAGCCAGCCTCAGCAACTTAGCAAGGCACTTAGCAACTCAGCGAGACCTTGTCTCTAAATAAAATATAAAATAAGGCTGGGGATGTGGCTCAGGGGTTGAGCACCACTGGGTTCAATCTCAGTACCAAAAAAAAAAAAGAGGGAGCACATGTTAACACACGTGATTAACCATCAACACAAGATACCTCACACTGAGGCTGGAGCAGCCAGGCCCCTGGACAGGGACTTCCTTTGTAGTTCACAGAACAATGACCTCAAGAGACTCTCAGGGGACTCCATCAGGGCTCAGGGCTGACTTGGGTGTGGACCAGGGCCCTATGAGAGTAGCCCTTGCTACACACACACACACACACACTACCCTGGAAAATGGCAACACTGGCATTAACTGAAAATGGAGGAACTGGGGCCTAGCCCAAAGTATAAGTAGACCCCCACATAGCTTTTTCACACAAACACTCAACCACAGGTTTGTCTGCTGTCCACCTGCCTGCATTCTCTCTGCAGTTGTGTAGGAATCTGGGAGAGGTTTTCTGACACATCTCCACTCTCTTCCTACTTTCATAAGGGCACCAAATACATTTTTAGCACTTCTCACCATTGTCCCCGCTCTCTCCCCTTCTCAATTCACTTCACCACTGACTTCCTGCCTTTGCCTCCTTGGGCTCCTGACTGCTTAGGCCCCCAGCCTCCTTTCCTGCACTATTTCCATCAAAAAGTAACCCAGATCCTATCAAGTGGACTGTTGAACCCACCTGCACACAGGAACAGGAGACCTCTAAGCTGTAGAGAGAAATTAGACCCAGTACCCACGGGCTCCAGGTCTGGAAGTGTGGAAGTCTCTCGATGAACACTTGGTTGAGCTACTGCATGAAGAACCAGTGCCTCTTCTCTGGAAAGCTCCCCAGAGTCTCTTCTGGGATTTCCACCAGGTCACCAGCTCTCCCTCACCCTACTGGCTTTTCTCAAGCAATGGCATTCAAGAGAAAGAAAAAGTTGTCAATCCATGTTATTGTTTTATTTGGCAACAGTGCTTCTTACTACAACTTCTTCTTTTTCCCCTTCTCCTCCTTCTTTCCTTGGTATCAGAGATTGAATCCAGGGACTCTTAACCACTGAGCCACATCCCCAGCCTTTTTTGTATTTTTATTTAAAGTCAGGGTATTGCTGAGTTGCTTAGGGCCTTGCAAAGTTACTGAGGCTGGCTTTGAACTCACGATCTTCCTTGCTTCAGCCTCCCAAATTCCTGGGATTACAGGAGTGCACCAGCACACCAGGCTTCTTGCTACAACTTCTTCACTGCAATTGTGAATACACAAAATTAGTTTTGTGTATTGTGGGGAAGGGCTGGGGAGGGAGGTCTGAGAAGCAGAGGTATTCAGGAAATAAGGGCTCAGAGGGTTGGCAATATTTTCAAGGCCATGAAGCCAGTGAGCAGTTGGTTAGAAGTCAAGGTGTCTGCTGGTGGGGGTCTGTCTTCCAAGCCACTTGGCCCAGAACCACTGGGCTCTTTCTCTCTGCACTCATCAATGCCTGTCAACATTTATGTGTAGGGACCCTATTTTCATGAGACACTCCAGGAAAACATAAAGGGCTTTGTGGATGAATCTGTTTGGGAAAAACTATAAGATGTCTTTTCCACTTGCTGCTTTCTATACAAACACATGTGAAAGGTCCTGAAAAGTATGCAGAAAAATGCCAGTACAGTTTGCATAACCCAGTGTTTCCCAAGTCTTTGACTATAGCAATCTTTGTTTATTTGTTTAGATAACATCTACAGGTGGAATATCTGTTATCTGAAATTTATGGTACCAGACTGTTTCAGGTTTTGCATTTTTCACATTGTAGAATATTTGCATATACATTATGAGGTACTTTGGAGATGGGCCCCAAGTCTAGACACAAAACTCATTTTATGTTTCATATATACCTTATACATGTAGGCTGAAGGTGATTTTATATGACATTTTAAGTAATGTTGTGCATGTCACGGTTTCGTGGTATGAAATTTTCCACATTTGGCATCGGGTCAAAAAGGTTTGCATTTTGGAGCATTTAAGATGTCAGATTTTTGGAATAGAGGTGGTCAGCCTGTATTAACATATGGCAAAATATATCTGGAAACAATATTAGCTTTTATTGTTATCTAGATGAACTGAATCGTCTGGGAAAGGATCAGGGAACTTTCTCTGGGTTGTCTGGAATAGTGAGGGCTGGAACTAGGGCCATTCCCTCCAGCAAGAAGGGCTATGCCCAAAGTCACCTTTTTATTAGGCTGGCATCTGTGCCCACTGTGTTTGTTTGCCCACAGAGAAGGCCACTGTCATGCTCACCCCATGCAGCAGGAAGGACAGCATTGTAGTTCGTCATACCTTTGAGCTAAAGTTCAGCCCGAGTTTGCTTCTCTGCAGGATGCTGAGAGCATGGGACCTGTGGGGTTGCTGATTAAATCTGCCTTTGGCTCCTGCACCAGGGTGTTTGCTGGTGTTCATCCTGAGCCCAGTAGAAAGCAGACAGTTAGGTGTCCCACCTGGGAGTGCAACCCCACAAATCTGGACTTGTTTTCTCACTGTCTAATGTCTCTTTATTGGAATTTTCACCTTTCGAGGACCAGGGACAGCACCTTCCCCACTTGTAACTTTTTTAGCTACCTCCGTGTTGATCCCCTGGTAAATGCCCAGATAATTCTTGTTGGGCTGAGTGGGAGGGAATCAATAACACTCCGTGTTTCACGGTTTGGGGCAGGAAAGGATAAATGGTGATGTTGCAAATCCCTTAATTCATTACCAAGCCTCTCTCTGCCCCAAGCAGCATAGAAGGACACCCAGAGGCAGAAAAGAATATCAAGAGCAATGGCACATAGCTTTCTGAAGCTCTGCATTCCTGGAAGAGTTAGAGCGACTGTCAAAGCCCTCGACGTATCCATTTTTATTAGTTTTTGTGGTGATTTGATGTTGTTAGGGATTCAGCTCTCATCTTCGCCTCTGAGATCATCTGAATAACGCCGGGAATAGGGAAGGCAAGAACAGAGATGAGGCAGCCACAGGCAGCCCTGGACCCGACCATATAAATCTAGGAGGAGGGTGGGGCAGGAGAGCCTGGGCTTCCCAGTTTGCTGGGCACGAGGCTGAGCCGGGGAAGCAGGAGGCATTGGAGAAGACCGTGTTTTGCCTTCACTCCAGGTGGCCATGACAGGTGCCATGAAAGTCTCAATCATGCTCCTCCTAGTAACTGTGTCCGACTGTGCGGTGATCACTGGGGTAAGTCTCTAGCGTTCTCTCTGCCTGGGTTCCAGGACAGTGCTAGGGTCTGCAGGGGATGTAAGCCCGGGAACCACACAGGTGGCCCCGCCATCCAACACACCACAAACCAAAGGGACCCCAGAGAGGGATTGTTTGTGATTTTCAGATTAGTTGGACCTCACTCTGATAAACAGGGTTGGCTTTTAAGAAGCTGTGTTTAAAGAAGATCTTGTTTTAAATGCATTCGGAGACAATTGAGAATTTTTGAAGTTTTAGTCTTTGGGAAAAATGAAGATTCCTGTTGTGTCATTGGGAATTCTTTTATAAAGTGGAATTCATCCCTTAATTTACCTTTTGTGTAAGTTTTGGTTTTCATATACAGTCTGGTCCACATGTCAGTTTTGACGTAGCAGTATGTTGGTTTAATTAAGGGCAGTAATAGCTCATTGGCTGCAATTACATCAGTATCACCCCTGCTGCCTCCACTCAGAAAGAAAGAATGTTTTGAAATACTTTTGCTCTGTGCCCAGTTCTGAGAGGAATACTGGCGACACCAACATTTGGCTAAAAAATGCTCCAAACAGAGGCCAGTAGAGAAGCACTAGGGAGAGATACCAGTTTAACTGGCTTCTAGAAATGCAGACTGACAGCACAGGCTCAGCCCACGGGTGCTGCACACGTCAGTGCCCACGACTCTGTGAGGGTGATGTCCCCTCTGAAGGCTGGCTCTTACTTTGCCCCACTCTGGCATGGATGCCGGTGGTGTTGGGCAGCGGGACTATTCTTACTAAAAGAAAGTAACACTGCACTCAAACCTTTCCTGTCAAAGTCATGAGAAGAAAAAGGGAAATGAACTTTTATTTCAACCACCTCCACCGTTTTTGTGGAGTAATGTCAAACAATGGCTGGAATTGGGTTTGTTTTCGTGTTGGTAGAAAGGATAATTCCATTCTCCTTTCTAAAGGAAAAAGACTGGTTGGTTCAAAAGAGGCACATATATGAAGGGTAAGCTATCGCTTTGGAGATCCAAAACAGGCACGGAACGAGCATAAAGCACTGAAGCTTGGTGGGGGTGGGTGGAAGGGAGAAGCCGGAAGGCCCAGCAGTCCTGCGGTCAGGATGGGAGCACCAGGTGGGCCCCGAAACCATGTCAACCTCACTTGGCCAGCTCTGACATCTGGCCCACGGGAAATGCACGACAGCAATGTGAATAGTTAGACAGTAGACTCCATTCTCGGAGTCCTGCTGATGTCCACAGGTAACTTCCAGGAAGAGGCCAAGTTCTGCCCTCTCCACATTCCTGTTACCTGGATGGCAAATGTCCCCAAGTTCAAGGCTGTCTGGTCCCACTACCAGAGTGGGACAGCAATGCCCATCCCTGAAAGATAAGAGCCAGGTGGGGGTCTCCTTCCTCCGACTCTCAGCTTTCAGAGCATGGCTAGGTATGAGGGGTGCCCTTGCTGGGCTGGAGACTGGCAGCCAGGTGACCGCTACCCGTGTCTCCTCTGGGTGGAGGGAATTGGCAACCTCTTTTCCTCCCGGGGCTGAGAAAGTGGGGAACTTCTAGTTCTGGATGCAGTCCCCACGTGCAGCCTGAGCCCTCCCCAGCCTCCACTGGAAAAGAGCAAATCAAGACACAGCTTCAAATTTCAGTTCATCGAAAGCACTCAGCTTCTGTAAAGTGGCCAGTTCTGATCCTAGCTTATGGGTAAAGTGGGTTTTGCTGCCTTCTTTACAAATGTCACCTTCTGGAAACCAGGCAGGGACATACAGCCTATTCTGGGAGCCGAGCCCTGTGGGGTCCATCTCTACTGGGGGGATCCCAGGGGCCAGTAGAGAAGCACTAGGGAGAGATACCAGTTCAATCGGCCTCTAGGGAGAGGGGTACCAACATGTGGAACAGGCATCAAGTAAGGGTGCTGAGTTTGGGCTGGAGATTCTTGGCTGAAAGCAGCTTAGTGCTGACCACTCAGGGGCTTGGGCCATCAGGGACCCTCCCAGCTTTGAGAATTCTAAATCACTCAATCCTACCAGCATCTGCTGAGCATCTACTGGCTCTAGAAGGGTTATCCCTCCTGACCCACTGGACTTTTCAGACAAAGAGGTCTGCCTCCCCACTGAGAGGTCTCCAAGGAGCTGGGACAGTCCCTCAAACCCAGATCCTGATGGACATGAAGCATCCTGCCCATGAAGGGAGCAGGGGCAATAACCCCAGTCCAAGGCATGCTGTTGTGATGGGGCCAGGTGACACACAACCCCCCAGAGGACTGCTGGGCTGCAACCTGGCTTCTCACAGGTAGTAGTGCTGCCCTCTCTGTCTCTGCAGGCCTGTGAGTGGGATCTCCAATGTGGAGCACGCACCTGCTGTGCCATCAGCCTGTGGCTGCGGGGGCTGCGGATATGTACCCCACTGGGACAGGAAGGAGAAACGTGCCACCCCAGCAGCCACAAGGTAGGTGACCACGCAACACACATTTGGTTTGTGTGTTCAGGTGAGCCCTGAGCTGCACAGGACGGGAGGTCCTGGGGCCTGGCTCTAGCCAAGATCACCAGGGCTGGAGCTTCTGAGTACAGTTCTGCTTCCTCCACAGCTGAGCAGGCCCCTAAATGCCAGAGGGCTGTCTGCTGCCCACCCCCACAAACACCCACCTTACTCAGTGTCCCACAGACGATGTTTGTGCATCTCACAGGGCCTGACATCCTGAGCTATGATCTTCTAGACAGGCTGGAGAACCACTAAGACAATTTGATTTTATAGCAGCCCTGGGCCATGGTGAGGAAACAGATCCAGCAAGGTCACGTGACTTGCTCAATGCATAGTCACCGAGGCAGCTGGGACTGGAACTGCAGTTTTCTGACATCAACTCTAGCTACATGTCATTGATGTTGGGACTGCCTCCTTTGCGGGGACAGCCAGAGTCCTTGCTTCCCCAATGTTGAAGTATAACACCAGAGAAGCACGCCGAGGCAAGGTCAGGGTGGAAAATAGAGGCTTTATTAAAGGACAGCAGAAAAGACTTCTCCCGGAGGAAGAAGGGGACCCAAGAGATGGAATCCGTGGAAGTGCGGTTGTCTCCCCTTTTTATACCTAGGGTCTTCATCTGCCCCCCCCATTCCTGTCCCCTGTTCTGTTATCTTTCAGTGATGGAATGTAGGTGGGAAGGCCCGAAGGGTGGGGCACAGGTGGGCCAAAGAAGTAATCTGGGCAGGAAGGACTTTTGGGTCAGCATCTTCAATTTTGCAGGAAGCTGTTTCATTAACATTTCTTTGGGATGGGCTCCGGCCTTGGGTTTTTCCCGGACTTCATTAACATTCCAAGAGTTCTGCTCTGCCCCCGCCCCCACTTCATTCTCAACATGGCCTCCATTTTGGATCTTACTCGATCTTAGACCCGATTTCCCTAACTACACTGACTACCTAACTTTAAATCTGGCTTCAGTCGTACTGGTCATGCAGACTGTTAGGCCTGGAGAGGGGGTTATGGCCATTTCCAGTTCTTTACTTGCTGTGTGATCTTGGGTAACTAGCATGACTGCTTTTTGCCTCATGTATACATTAAAGGGAGCCCACTGATTCCCCCCTGCAGTCTCTTATCCATCTGAGAAATCTGGATTTTGAAAGGGTCTCAAATGCCCTTTGCTCCCTTGGAAACCTCCCTCAGAGACCTGCCTTCAAGAACGTGAAATCAGCTGGGGGTGGTGGTGCCTCCACCTTGATCACAAGCTCAAGGCAACTTAGTGAAGCCCCAAGTGATTTAGTAAGACCCTGTCTCAAGAATAAAGAACAAAAAGGGCTGGGGATGCGGCTCAGTGGTAAAGCACCCCTGGGTTAAATCCCTGGTACCAACAAAACAAAACAAAACAAACAAACAACAAAGCAACCATGAAATAAGACCCCCCAAATGATGGCTCCTCTACACAACGGTTCTGAAGCCAGGCCAGCAGGTACTTGGAACACACATTTCAAGAAGGCTGTCACTCTTTTGTGCCCTAAGCATCTAGTGAGGGCTCTGCTTCCATCCCCTGGCAGCCAGCTCCCAGCCACAGGGTGTAGAGGAGCCCACAGGGCCTTTGCTTCTGCATGGTCAACAGGTGCAGACAAAACTGGGGGGCGGGGTTAGGGGGCTATGCGGGGTGGGGCCTGACATCCAGATTCAGGCATCTTACAAGATTCGGTGCCCCGTCGGGGGTGAGACTCCTCCAGTAGTGTCCCTCTCAATCTTGGCCTTTTCCCCACACCATGAGGAGGTGGTGGGGAGGCTGTGCAGCTCGGCGGCCCCCTTTGCTTTGGAGTGTGTGGGGCTTCAGTGCAGATCCGTATTCCCAGCGGGGACCTGAGTGATAATAAAACTAACACGGAGGGCCTCCTACAAGCCACTCTGCAGACAAGCTTTTTGTAAACATATACTTTAAACCTCTTCCAGCCACATTGTAGGTGCTATTAGCCCATTTTACAGATAGCAGAGTGGATGTGCAGCAAGGTTAACTAAAACCTGGTGTCTGACACTGAACCTGTGCTCGTGGTTCCTAATCAGCCCCCCTCAAGGATTCCTCGGTGGTCTGGTGGCCTCCTACAAGCCACTCTGCAGACAAGCTTTTTGTAAATATATACTTTAAGCCTCTTCTAGCCACATTGTAGGTGCTATTAGCCCATTTTACAGATAGCAGAGTGGATGTGCAGCAAGGTTAACTAAAACCTGGTGTCTGACACTGAACCTGTGCTCGTGGTTCCTAATCAGCCCCCCTCAAGGATTCCTTGGTGGTCTGGTGGCCCTCTGGGCAGTGAGTCAGAGTGCAGAGACTGTGTGTCCCACACGGCTGCCCCCAGGCACCCACCAGAGTTGAGCACATAACAGACCTAACACAGTAGGTGTCCAGTCAACAGAGCTGGGCGTGGGTGCTGCGTCTGAAGACCAGGCAGCCTGGGTACACGTCTAGCTCCTCCGTAGGTGAGCCGAGGTCCTCGCATGCTGCTCGATCACCCTGTACCTCGTTTCCTCAGCTATAACCTCTAGTATTGCTGGGCGAGGCTGTATGGGAGGTGGAGTGAGGCATTCGACAGGGCTGGGCCCCCAGAGGCTCCGGCTGGAGGCCACCCCTGTGGGTGAAGGTGTCCCTCTCTGCTCTCCCCAGGTCCCCTTCTTCCGGAAACGCCAGCACCACACCTGTCCCTGCTCACCCAACCTGCTGTGCTCCAGGTTCCTGGATGGAAGATACCGCTGCTCCACGGACTTGAAGAACATCAATTTTTAGGAGCTTGTCCAGGCTCAGACACCCACCAGGCTTCCTCCCGAGTCCAGCCTGGGGTCACCTCTTCTGGATTGTTATTTCTACCGTGCAGCCTGCTCCCCGCAATCCCTCAGTCCTATACTGCCCATCTGGATCTTTCCCGTCTGGTATACCAGAGGGCACATGGACCAGCGACCTTCACTATGGCACAGTTGGGTCAGCCTGTGGTTGCTGGCCCTGAGAGGTGGCCAGCCAGCTTCTCTCCCCTGTTCAACCTTCCTGAGAGGCTGTGAGCTGTGGAGAGGACATTGTCCTCCTCCCTGACATTCCCCAGCACAGGCCCCTGGGCGCATTGCCCTTGGCCCTCCGCCCTATCATGTGAGGTCTGGGAGGCCAACCTGAGCATGGTTCCTTCTCTTCTGGTGGAGTAACTCCTGATTTTTAGACCACAGGCCCAAGGCCAGCTCTTCCCAGAAGGCACAAGGCAGTCACCTGGAGTAGGGTGTGGGACGCCAGGTTAGTCAGGCAAGCCAACTTCCTCATAACTCTAGTCCTGTGACCTTGGGCCTGCAAAGTCCCTAAAGGCCTTCCTAACACTTCACCAGTTACCAGAGAGCTCCAGCCCCCAGGGTTTCACCATTACAATGAAAATGGTGGGGCCTAATCTCATTTTTTTTTTAAAGAGAGAGAGAGAGAGACAGAGAAAGAGAATTTTTTAATATTTATTTATTTATTTTTAGTTTTTGGTGGACACAACATCTTTGTTTGTATGTGGTGCTGAGGATCGAACCCGGGCTGCACGCATGCCAGGCGAGCACACTACCCTACCGCTTGAGCCACATCCCCAGCCCCTAATCTCATTTGATGTGGACAATTTAGAAGGGGATTAGGGAGTTTCCTTACACAACCCTTTTCCAAGGATCAGTTCCTGTGAGCAAATCTGCAACCGTGAGGCAGGTCCTCCCCTGCCTCGTTATGGAGGAGCAGGGCCCTCAGGCTGCCAATAAAAGAAGGAACCAAACCAGGGTGTGTGGCTGTGGTGTTCCTGTTTCTGATGGGGTGTAGATCTGTGTGGGCCCAAGTTGTGGTGGGGGAGGGGCAATGTTTTGGAGCACGGGATTTTGGGGGTCTCTTCGATGAGGGGGTGACAGGCAGCTTGGAGGGCTTGGGCAAGGAGGGCTTAGGTGCGAGACTCTACTGAGGAGGCAGCTTAGCAGGGTCCGATTGCAACTCTCATTTTTGAAATTTGGTCCCTTTGCTTTTGTTGACCACTTGACCCCACCAGGTGACCTTGTGCCTGGGACAAGGAAGAATCTGGAGTTGGCCTCACTTCTGAACCCCAGGATGGGAGCTTCCCCTACATTCAGGTTGCTGGTCCCACTCTTCATCTCCACATTAGCACCTGTCCTAGTAAAACATAAAATATAAACATGTAAAAAAAAAAAACCCAAACAAACAAAAAACCCCCAAACAACAAACAAACCCATAAAATACAAAAAGTCTATCATATCCCACTCTGTTTCTCAGGAGCCCCCTAACACCCTGCCCAGGCTGCCCCTCTTCAGCCCCTCCTGAGAGCAGGCAGTGGCAGACCCATCCACGGGCTGAGCCACCTGTTTCATCTAATTGGACTTATCCTCAATTTTTTTTTTTATATTAGAAACTTGATGAATGTATCATGGACTGTGTCCCAGTTTCCTGCTGCTGTTGGTAAAGACAAAGGGCAGATAGGAGCAGATGGGGAGGCTCAGAAAAACATATTTGTGAGTATTTATATTTAGAAATGATGTTCATAAACATAGTTTCTAAAAATAATCTACTTATAAGAATAATATGTCCCCAAGACAAATGAATTCTAGAATAAGATCAGGTTCAAGATGCATCATCCGTATCTCCTATTTGGCTCCAGGATGCACCCATCCCTTGTATTTGGCTCCAACTCTTTCATCCTCAACTGGTGGTATTTGGCGCCATCTAGTGACAATAGTAGGAACAGCAAGAAGAGCTGATGGGGAGGAGAGAGTCCACCTCCTCAGAGCAGATGGGGACCATAAGTATCCCAGACATCTAGACTCAGCTGGAGGTTTAGAGGGACAGTGTTTTCAGCTGTGGCAAGAAATCTGTGGCCCTAAGGACCACAGAAAAATACCAAGTGAAGCTTGGAGTTCTATCTCATTGCAGCTGCTCTTTCTTGAAGCTGATGTCATCTTTTAGGACATCTCCTCTCACAACTTCTCCGGCATGAGGGCAGAGTGGAGGGAGGTGAGGACTACCTGCCACCTCCATCTGTGTGTCCCCAGGACGTTTTATGCCTGGGCAGAGCTGTCTCCTGAGGCGGCTCCATGCTCACGGCCCATCCCCCACCTGTGTTTTTATCCGTCTGGGTTAATGCGAGTCACACAGAGGAGGGCAGAAGCCACAGTGGAGAATCTGCCCTGGAGTCTGCTGAGAACCTAAGATGCTCCGAGAAGATTTGGGGGAACTGAAGCCTCCTCCACCTGTTCAGTCAGTGTGAGCAGGGACGGTGCCGGCCACAGGACCCCAGCGACTGAGCCAGCAGGAGAGCACGGATGGATGGCCGTTTCTCCTACGTGGCCATCCCTGGGCGAGGGATCTGAGCCTCCAGGCTGGAGGAGGCTGTGTCCAGAGATGAGATCCAAGGAGGCCCAGGACCCTCCCAGAGCCATAGGGAAAGGTCACCTCCACCGAGGCTCCAGGGCTGGAGTTCAGCTTGCTGACACAGGACTCACTTTTCACAGACTGTGTTTATCGAGGGTGGCTTTGGGTGGGTCCAGAGGGCAACATTTTGCATTCTTGCCCTTTCACACTCTTGACAGTGACCATTCCTGGACTCCAGAAACTGCTGTCTAAACATTCGCCTCTCAGATCAGCCCAAGAGTCAACCTGAAGGAGTTGCCTGGAGTGTACTGAGATATCAGATTCTGCCAGGTGGTGAGGAAGCACAGGTGGGGAGGGTGGATAAGGGCAAGTTCACTGTTGGGGTGTTTTCAGAGATGCTCCTTTCAATCATGAATCAGACAGGAAAGCAACAAACTCCCTCTAAACAAGTAGCTCTTTTCAATCCTTGCTGAGTAGATGAGTAAAATAGGGATCCAAACAGTGGAGTAGTATTCATCCTTGAAAAAGCAATGAAGTACTGATACATACTGTTAGAGTCTGTAAACAAGTCAGGATGGCACCTGGCATTTTGCCAGAGGGAGTGGTTTGTGAAGTAACGCCAGGGAGCCATTAAGTGTGGAGATTCCTTGTTGGTTGACTGCTGTATCGAGTTTATGTTAATTAGATAAGCTGTGTGGAATGTATAAATACCCCTCCTGTCCTACAATAAACGGTTCCCACTCCTGCTGTATCAATCTACACAAGTTGCTCGTCACCCCCTCGGTTATTTTGCTGCAGCCGGACTGCGGCAACACACTACCTCCTGGATGATTCCAAAACATTGTGCTAAATGAAGGAAGCCAATCATCAGAGACTGTATCTTGTACAGTTCCATCTATGTGAAATGCCCAGTGTAGGCAAATCTGTAGAGATAGAAAGTAGATTAGTGGTTGGCAAGGATGGGGGATAGGTGAGCAGTGCTTGCTGGAAAATGCATGGCTTCCTTTCAAATAGCTATTTTTTGGGGGGGGCAGGGTACCAGGGATTGAACCCATGGACACTCAACCACTCAACCAGCCCTAATTTGTATTTTATTTGGAGGCAGGATCTTACTGAGTTGCTGAGGCTGGCTTTGAACTTGGAAGAGGTCTTCCTGCCTCAGCCTCCCAAGTGGCTGGGATTACAGGTATGTGCCACGGTGCTCAGCTCAAATAGGTATTTTTAAAAATGCTCATTTAACACTCACTTTATGGGGGTGAGAAGAATAACTTCACGGCAACCGAAAATGTATACATTTGGCCCTCCAAACCTGTGGATTCCACTGTGGATCCAAAATACTTTTCAAAAAATGTATCTGGACTGAACATATATAGGTTTTTTTTCTTGATATTATTCTGTAAGTGATACAGTATAACAACTCTTCACTTAGCATTTACATTGTGTTTAGTATTAAAAGTAGTCTAAGGGATATTTAAAGTGTGCCGGAGGATGTGTGTAGATTATATGTAAGTGCTATGACATTTTCTGAAGGGACTTAAGCATCCACAGGTTTTGATATCTTTGGGGATCCTGAAACAATCCCCCAATGGATATCAAGGGATGAGTGTACCTATTCATGTATGAACCAAATAAGGTATTTTTTAATATGCGGTTTTCTATCCTAGATTACTTTTTGAATGGAATACCAGATGTTAGCAATTCAGATTATAAAATCATGTAAATGACAAAAAAGTAAGAACCCTCATTAGCAGTACAAAATCAGATACCATGCACTCTTTCCAGTGGTGACTGCATCTTCAATGAGCATATGGGACTTTTTTTTATTCCACTGGGGGCGTGGCTCACCTAGGTGTGGGCAGAGAAGCCCCTCTCCAGGGTGGCTCATTGCACAGGTGCAACAGGAGCTAAGTCCTCTTGGGGTTCCCGCCTTTTCAGAATCAAGACTAGACAGCTAATCCTGGGTAGGAATACAGTTGCCAGGTGGAATCCCAACCCGGGTGGGAACAGGGGTGGGATATTCCTGTCCTTTAAAGTCCAAATCCACAGAATTAAGAGATGAGCCACTTTCAGGTGGGCAAAAGAGTCAGCTTCCTTTGTCGGGGCACCCTGTCCCAGGCTTGTAATCCCAGCAACTTGGCTGGGAGGCAGGAGACTTGCAAGTTGAGGCCAGCCTCTGCGACTCAGTGAGACCCTGTCTCCAAATAAAAAAATGCCCGGGGATGTATAACTCAGTAGTAAAGCACCCCTGGGTTAGATTCCCCACTCCCTCCTGCTCCCCTCCCCGGCAAAAAGTCAGCTTCCCCTCCTCCTGTGAAACTTTCCATTCAACATCTGTGAAGGGACACAGCCTGCACCCACCCTTTCCTGCTGCCCCCACCCACTCCTGCTTGCCTAGGATGAGCAGTGCCCGGGGCTCTGGAAGACAGCCTGGCCTAGGTCACAGGAGGGCTATCAGCCCCTGGCCCACTTGAAGCCTCTGCTATTCATAGGTCACAGAGAAGTAAACTGTGGGATGACTCTTCAGAGCTCTGGCAGGGATTTGCCTGGTGAAGGCAGGAGGAGACCCCAGGCCTGGTGGGGGCAAAGGACCCTCATTTGGGGGCAAAAAATTGGAAAAGGAGAATCAGCTGGGCCTCTGTGGACAGAAACACTGATGAGTCAGGAGCCGTGGGCACATTTCTGACAGAGACAAGTGGGAGAGGAGTCCTTGCAATTCTGTCAACAAACTAAACCACGAGAATTAAGCAAAAAAAAAAAAAAAAAAAAATATATATATATATATATATATGTTCAATGGCAGCTCCACATTTCCTTGTCACTTCACATCATGCTTCATGCTTATTGGCATTTCTCACTGAATTATCAGCGATCACCTTATGTTCTTGGGCAGGCAGGGCAACACAATGGTTAGTGACACAACCTGCCAGAGTCTGAGCCCTGGTTCAGCTGCTTACTAGCTGGTGACTTTGGTCAGGTTACTTAACTCTCTGCTTCTCAGTTTCCCTGTCTGTAAAATGTCAATCATCATAGCACCCGCCTCTTAGGATTGCTATAAGGACTTATTGTTAGTGCCTGCAAGCACTTAGGATAGCGCCTGCTAGGCAGAAGCACCGACAGAATGGTGAAGAATTGTTTGTCCTCTTTATGAAGATGCCAAAGATAGTGCTGGTTGCTTGGCCCAGCATCTGGGCCTCTTTTGACCAGGTCACTAAGCCGGTGTTATCTGTAGGCCTTTTTTTAGGGGGCCGGGTAAGCTAACCAGACCAGGAAGGAACTAAAATCCTTTTCTTAGATGTGTTTTAATGTCCCAGAATTCGAATAAGGATTTTATGGAAATCACCATTTGTTCAGATTATGTTCTATTATTATTATATGAAGTTCAAAAGCCCAGGTTTATGTAGG